ATTTGCATGGGAATTTGGCTGGGGAATTTGGTTGGGGGAAGCTTTAAATAACATGGGCAATGAGGGAAATCTTACGATCAGCAAGATGGTTGTGCTATGCAGTGGTTTTTTTTCTTATCTGAAGATGACCCAAACTACATAAGCTTCTTATTGGAAAAGAAAGTGGGAAGGGAATAAAAAGTTTCTAAATTGCAGTGCTTAGGGAAAAAAAAGATTTTTGGCAGGGCACCTAAAACTCTCCAGGAGAGTAGATAAATCAAGAGAACATCTAGAACCAGAAAAACTCCCTTTCAAAGAGGCAAACTTGCGGAAGCACATGATCAAAAGAAATATAAATACCGGGTTACATTCAGTGCTAAAAGTACTCAAGACAGGTACCAGGTACCAATAAAGAAGGATATTTATAGCTCAGAGTTGAAATAAGGGCTCCTTTGTTCTCTCTGAGCTTGGTTGTTTTCTTGCAGATGTCTCATTACCCAAACTAGGTAACATCATGAATGCTAGTAAGGAGTGAGGTTTGCTTTCAGCTTATATTCTAGTAGCTTGCCCCGTCAGTGTTGGTGCGTAGTGAAACACCCACAATTATGGATCACATAAATTTCTGCCTAACCACATACTTCCAATTTGATGGACAAACTTACTAAGTAATTAAAGGTACTCCTATGGGATCACTGCTTTCAGGATTGATAGTGGAGGTCATTATGCAATGTCTAGAAGCCATAGCACTTCCACAAATACAACCCAAAATATGGATCAGATACATAGACAACATCTTCACATAATAAAAAAGGACCAATTAGAGAACACCCACAGAACTATCAATAACATCTTCAAAGGATTCCACAACAACTCACCACCCTTTTTGGACATCCTGATCAAAGGAAATCACAATGCAAACTAAAAACATAAGTGTACAGAAAAACCACCCACACCAACCAACCAAGTGCTCCACTACCAAAGTAGCAACTAAACCTCCCACAAGAGAAACTGCATAAGAACTTTATTTAGATGAGCACAAACTCACTGCAGCAATCCTGAGCAGCAGAAAAAGGAAACAACATTTATACAACATATTCCAACAAAGTGGATATCCGTGCAACTTTTTCAAAAAGTTATCAACCTAACACAGCATAAGCCCTGAAAAGAATAACACTGCCATACATCAAGAACATCTCAGAAATCACCAACAGACTACTAGAATCACGTGGAATCAGCAACACCCAAGCCAATTAAAGCCCTTGAAAACATCCTAGGTAAACTAAAAGACCCAGCTGCCCTCAAAAAAACCCCAGGAGTCATATATAACCATACAGTATAATAACTGCAATGGCCACTAGATACAACAAGCAGGCAAAAGACTGGCAGAACTCATCCATGAACATCAACTAGCAGTCAGAAGACATGATGAAAACTCTTTAATTTCACAACATATGGACAAACTTAACCATAGTTTCAGTTGGGAAACTCTGCTCATGCTAGACCTAGCCAAGTCCTAAAATGCTAGGGAATTTCTAGAAGCTTGGTACTCTGATAAATTAGCCATCAATAGACACATCAATAGAAACAATATACTGTATACTGTGCAAAAGAGATAATCAACAAGCCAAAAGGGAACAAAAAGATGAAAACACCTCCCCACCAGCAATCAGGACCCAGATGATCATAGATTAACTCCAAGATTAACATCCAACCAACAATCAAGAAAACAATACCCCAGTCAAGGAACTGCCAAACAAACCAACAGTAAACAGCCCAACCAAAGAACCTCTAAAATCACTCCTACTGACACTGACAGGGCAAGCTACTAGATTCTAAATTGAGAGCAAACCCCACTCCTTACTACACTGATCATGTTACCTAGTGTGGGTAATGAAATGTCTGCAAGAAAACAACCACACTCAGAGAGCACCTCTCTAGATCTGAACAAAACAAGGACCCCTCTAGATCTGAACAAAACGTGATATGGAACATAGTGAAATAACATTTGGACCATAATAAACTGAAGAAACCATGAACTGCTTGGTAGGTACCTCTGTGCTGAGAGGAACTCAAGAGCCATGTGCTGACTGATATAAAGTTGTAAGTGTATCAGTGTTGTCTTTCAGGTTTCTGTATCCTGGATGTGACAGAGAAATTACCAAAAATATTTCAACCCCCTGACATTCTTTTCTTCTTGATTTGTGTGAGACAGATGGCACAGTCAGAGGAGACCTTGAAAAGATTTTCAGAGGTGATGTGGCCTTGGTTAATGTTTCTAATTGAAGGTCATGGTGGAAAATAAAAAAGGATTCCAGGAGTTAGCAATTGGCTTTATAGACAGCATTGCTGAAAATAATTTAGATTCTATGACAATGGATTATGCTATGTTCATGAAGGACTTCTGAAAAGAAATAGGCTATATATTATAATCACTGGGAAGAAAATGTTTGTCAGTCTCATCAGGAGACCATTAAACCACAAAAAAAAAAGGGTGGCAAAAACCCAGTACTGAATACGAAGCCAAGGACTGGGGTCAAGAAAGCAGAACATAAAAGGAGAGGCAGAAGAGCAGGATAGAGACTCTGAGACTTGGGAAAAGTATAATAGGCCAGTAGAGTGATGCCATTTAGTATCTTGTAAATTTCAATACCATTGTATGAGAAACAAATGGAGCGAACTAGTATTCCTGATTCAGGAAGACAAATATTACTTTCTGAGCGTCACTAGATTTGGGGGAATGATATTCATGATTGGCATATAAAATTGGAAGGCTACAGTTTATTCAAAAGGAACAAATGCAGAACAAGGGTAGGATATTGGCGGTATGTAAAAAAAACTTGCAGAAATTTAGGAATCGGAGGATGGAAATCATGTTAGAAGTGTTTGGATAAGAAGAAAAAAGAAAGAAACACATCATTCCATTATAAGAATTTATTACAGATTTCAAGGACAGGGAGAAGACATGGAGGAGGTTTTTCTGCATCAGGATCAGTCTTTCAGACAGGCATGTAGTGGTGATAAATGGAAGATTTCAGTTATCTTGACATCTACTAGGAAACTAACTCTACAAGAGTTGAAAGTTGAAAGTTTTCCACACATTGACAACTTTATTTTCTGCACTGATGTTACCCAGGGCTTTTTTTCTCATAGAACGGAGTTCCGGCACCTTTTTTGGATGGAACCTTGTAGGGTAGGCAAGGCGGGTTGTATGAAGTGTGTGAGTTCCGGCACCTTTAAAAAAAACCAAAAAACCACTGATGTTACCTACTTGGGTAATTAAATGCCTGTAAGCAAAACCAACCTCAGAGAGTTCCAAGGACTCCACAATTCCACCCTGGGCTATACATATTTTCTTCTATTGAAATGTTCAAATATCTAGGAGTACCTTTCAGAATTCCAAAGGGCCCCAGGGCAATATTGTACCTTTCTTATTGTATCCTTTAATCTGCTTCACACAGCATACAAAGTTGCAAATGTTTGCTGTGTGAATTGCCATTGTTTCTGAATTCATATAACATGAATTGACTTGCACAATTTGCTAAGCCAAAAACAGAAAACGGATAACATTATGAGTGAATTTAGCGGTGTTCACTCTAGCTTCCTTTTTCCTCCATTGTTATTGTTTCCTTGAAATCACTGGTTCACTGAATGGGAATTCAGGGAAAGAAGAGATCTACAATATTGACATTACTTTTGGAATTATTTATACTTGGTCAGTTTTCTTCCCTTGTATGAAACCCTTCTTTTCATTTTGAATATTGAATCTTATTTTGGAAAGGGCTCAGTTTGTATGTGGTTACAAAATAAAGTCTTCCTGTTGCCCTTCTGAAAGGTTTGCCTACATTTTTCAGAGACAAATATTGAATTCAAAGAGCCTTACTCTCCGGAAATTATGTATTGGATCATATCTCTCAGCATAACCCTTTGCATACTTAAACAATTTATTCTTTCCCTTGGCTGCTGTATTGCCCTTACCTCCATTTTCCTAATACCATTTCCTTTAAAGAAAACAATGACAAATACTAACAAGCAAAAAACAGCTCCTGCTTTAAAAACGGAGGTGCATTGCCTGAAAGTCACATAACACCCACCAGAAATATGTGCATAACAATAGGATATTTTCCAGGGCTGATGTACTCAACCATCATGACACTCCTCTTTCCATACATACAAAATGGGTCTATTGGTGGGCAGTAGACATTTGCAGAACAAATTTGGGCCTACAGAAACTTTATTCCAATGTTTAGTTTACAACCCTGCTTAGCTAAGGCATATGGAAGCAGATAACAAATGAGGTCAGTGACTAACATCTGCTTTTTGACCCGGTTGTGCTAACTTGGGTGAGGTTATTTATTTATTTAGGGTAGGACGAGAACATGACTTGGGTGAGGTGAGTCCTTTGGATTCATCTGTGGGTTTGAAAGTTCAACTTAGTCTTATCAGCAAAATGTATGAACATGAGATGCTTTTGCTGCAATGAAAATGCAACTGAACTTGAGCTGTTTAGTGCATACAGAGCATGAATATGTATGTAGTTATTCATGCCATTTCATGTAAGACATAGTGTGAAATAGTACTGAAGTACATTTTGCAATCTTTGATTCATGACCTTCTTGTTTTACTTTTCTCCCACTCTTGGATTCTTGTTTCTGTTTAATGAGATAAGGAGTCATGCTTCTCCCAATTTGATGTTTTCTAATCGCCATTTCATTCATGTGCCTGAATATTATTACTGCTGTTTTTTTTAACTTGTCCACAATTACTGGACAATTTGTATGTACACACATTCCTGATGATGAGCACCTATGTTATGGAAATGATGATACAAGCCATATGTAAGCATCAAGTTTCCAATAAATGCCAAAATCATAATACCAGAACAAATTCACAAGTTTGTTTGGGGTGAATAATATTTTTTCATCTGAATATATAAATCCTGTGTTTAAGAGTTCATTCCTTAGGCTACAAAATATAGCAAAATTCAGAGCATGATGTAAATTAAATATTTCTGTACCTTTCAGGCTTAAACACGGGTTGCTTCTATGCCATCTCAACTTTGCTAAACCGCATGGTAATGCTGCATTATCCAGTAAGTAATTCTCTGTTGAGATATCATCATTCTGATTTGATACTGAAAATAGTAGCACTTTATGTAGAGATATATTTCTTTCTTCCCCTGGAGCAACCTGAAATTTAACTAACGTGTCAGAGGTTTCTTTATATGAATCAATGTCTCAGCTATGCCACCAGAAATGGAAGAGAAGTGGTTGTAAAGTCAATTTGGATTCTGATTAGATTAGAACAAGATTCTCTTTAAACATGAAGTGAAAACTGCAGATACTGTCTTTAAAGTCCAGCAAGAGAAAGAGCAATAGCAGGCAGCATTTAAATCTTCTCATTTCTGCTATTATCTTTTGGCTGGCCAACTTCTCCCTTTTTGATTTCAGATTCTGTTGTTGGATATTTTGTCCTTGAAAAAAAGGAAGAGCTAAGTTTGAAATCATGAGGGGAAGGCAAAGAAAACTCACTTGTACACAAGAAAACCTTGATTTAATGGACTAATGGGGGAAAGCAGTGTTCATTTAACACTGTTAAGCCAGTAATGGATGTTACACATGTATATTTTGTATATTTATATATTTTATGCATTTGACACATGTCTAAAACAGGAATATACTTATTTTGTATATTTTACCATTTTAGGCAAGCATAGAATGGCAGATGGGATTTTACACATATGCAGGAATGTATAATGTATATTGATTGATATCCAGTGCAGTTGAAGTCTGTTAAATCAAAATTAAGATTAATTGTATATATTCTTTTACAAAACTACCACATTTCACAGGTTGTGCTATTTCCCCCCCCCCCCTTTATTTCATCTCCTTAACATTCCTATAAAACACATTAGGTTTGAACACCATTACTAGATTGAGAGAATGTTAATATGCCTCTTGGCTGGGATGTGGCTCAGGTCCCAAAGAACTTGCTCTAACAATCTACCTGATGTGTAGACTTGGGCCTTTTAGAATTTTCTAGCCAGGTGGAATTTTACTGAGAACTCTGGGAGTTGAAGTCAACATATCTGTGTTGAGTGTTCAACACAAGAGTGTTCAAGCTGGGAAAAGCTGTACTATATTGTACCACTGTGGCATTTTTATCCTGACTCTTTCCATTTCTCTTTTGTGAAGTAAAAAAAACCTGATGATGTATGCATACTTGTGTTGCTTCAGGGAGAGGATCTGAATGCTGGTCGAATTGGTCTCACCATTATAGTAGCTGGCATGTTTGGAGCTTTGATTTCTGGCATCTGGTTGGACAGAACTAAAACATATAAGTAAGTGCTTTATTGTATCTCTTTGGAGAAGAGGCAGGCTTTTTCAATGAGTAGATCAAGGGTGTAGTGAAGGAGTCAACAATATTTTCTGGTCTGAGGATACACTCGAATTCTTTGCCACTCAACTTGGGGGCTGCAGAAGATGGGGGCTGTTAATATGGCGAGATCACCAGAGTGAGCAGAACCCAAATTTTCAGCCTCCTTTTTCCTTTGAGAGGGAATTAAATAAAATGGGTACCTAAAATTTTGGCTTAAGACACAATTTTTTTTCATTCAAAATCCTTACCAACAAAGGTGTCATGGTTCCAACAGATGAAACTCTTCAAAGAACTTCCAGGCATTGTTTACCTTAAAGAATCTTTATTTGAGTAGCATAGCATCAGCACTAACACAGTGGAAGCCAAAAACTGGATTCCCCTCCCCTCAGCACATAGTAACAAAGCACAATTCCCTCCTCCAATTAACTGTCATAAATCACATTCTCCAATTAGTTTGAAATGCAGGCTCTCTCTCCAGTTCTCCAGCTGCCAATTCTTATCATCTCTTATTTTATTAACCTTGGTTCACACACTAGATCCAGTTTTATTATGTCTATCTAAACTCTCATGCACATTCCTCCCCCCCAGCATCATCTTAATTCTAAAAGTAAAACATAAGAAGAAAATGGTTGCATCTTTAACTGTTGTCAAAGCAAAAACATCTGATGTTAGCAGTGTTGACAAAAGGATGTACTGTAATTAAGTTTTGAATTAAATACAGTACTTATTTCCTCTATAAAGTTTAAAGTAGTTATTTTTACATAATCTTTAAACAAGTAATTATATAATGTATATACAGTACTCTACAGTATAATATATATATATTAAAATATATATATTTTAAGGCCTGATGATGTTAGCAGTTGCTGACGAAAGCTTGGCGTTTGTATTAAACTTTTATAGTTTAAAGATTTTCCCTGGTGTTCACGTTTATTTGTTTATTTTGAATATATATATATATATATATATAT